TATATATATATATATACATATAGATTAAATTAAATCAAATCCACTTTCCCAGGAAGTAGGATTGGGCAGAGGATGGAAGTAGGTTGGGCTTCCTGGCAATACGATCATCTATTCAACCTCCTCCAGTCATCCGTGCCTAGCCAACTAATCCTCTTATGAGATAAGTTGTTTGAGCTCCTTTGTTTGGGGGTTAAAAAGCTTCTTGTGCACAGTCATCTATCGAGGGACTGAGGATTGTGACTACTCCATTACTGCATGGTGACAGTAGTTTGATACTCCTCTGCATAAATGTGAATCGACTCCTTGGCACATGGAGATTTGATCTTCGAGGTTATGAAATCTCTCTTTATTCTTTCTAAATTTTGTTTTTTTATGTGAAAGCCAACAACCAGATTATCAATTCGTTATTAGGGGATGATAGTTATGGCTAGGCTCTAAGACTGGTTCAGACAACTTTGATGCTAACTCAAATTGAGGAAAATATGGTGAATTGCCAGGCTAGCACATTTGCAATGTATGGAGAAAAAACCAAAAGCGAAGGATGTCCCCAGTTTGCTAGCTCCCTTACTAGAGGATATGGAAGGCTTCTAACATTGCAAATGTTTGGTTGGCACTGTCAAATGTTTATGAAACTTACTTGAAGTTCTTGGCCCAGACTAAAGTTGGCGGTGTAGATAGTTTTAATTTTGGGGGTAATGTGATATATAAGAAGCTGTTTTGTTAAGGTCTTATCTCAGTTGAAGCAGCGAACGAACCAGATTTAAATTTTTTCCTTCCTGAATAAGATTCTTTGTTAAAAGTTTTTCAAAATACAGTTTACTTTTTGTAATTAGTTTCTCTCAAAAATTATGTTGATGTGATACACTTTTTTGAAATTGAGGCACGACGGTTCTGCTTCCCTGTAACCCTTATATATAGAGGTGAGGGGTTGAAGTCCCCTAGTATGTTCTTTATCCTTTACTCACCTCTTTCACTCGGTACTTCTGCTCTTTTCTTTTCTTTCTTTTGGAGGGCTCCAATGTAGATTTTAGCTCTTGAGAGGTCATTCATGTCGCCTAGGGATGTGGACCTGATCCATGAAACTTGTGTCTTAAAGATTCGAATTAACTTCAGGCAACTAAGAGTTATGCTTGAATGACTAACTCATTTGGGAGATGCTTGATATTTTATAGAGATCAATTATGATGGAGGATCCATCTTTTCTGGCATGATTTCAGGCCCATATTCAAGCACTATGGAGTCATTCAAAGGTGATCATGACCATCATTACTGACTGCCAGTTATCAGGAGTTCCATGTTTTTATCTTTTTCCATAATATTTCTCATTCAGAGTTGACTTGGAAGGCTACGTCTAAGTTGGTTCGTCTAAGAACTTCCAGCTTCTGAAGCTTGAAACAAAATGAGGGATTGGAAACTTTGATTCTTCCTTGGATCTTCTTTCGTCGGTTAGGGGTTCAAGATAATACCAATCGAAGATGTTTACTAGAATAACAGATTTGTTCCTGTCCAAACTCTGAGGAAGGCTGGAGAAGTGATTGGGAGGCACCTGTCGATGCACCAGTACACTGACGTGCTGACTATAAAGTTTGGAGGTATGACTATTGAGTTGTAGGCTGAGGAATGCCAAGGATTCCCAACGTAGAGATAAGGCGGTCAAAGTTGCTTAAAAGAAGCCTAGAATTTACATCATTGACGAACTGAGGGGGTCCTTTGCCCAATCCACCA